ATTTTTGCTCATGTACTTTACATCACAGGAACCATTAAAAAAAAGCAAGGATACGCAAAATAAAGAATATACTCACATCTGACATTCAGCTGCACATCAAGAGAGATGTAACTGTGTCCATGTAGAGCACAGCTGTATCTGCCTGCATCCTCTCTTCTGACTGACTGCAGCAGGAGTTGTTTCCGTCATCCTCTCTTCTGACTGACTGCAGCAGGAGTTGATTGTTTCCGTCTCTTCTCTCAGTTAATGGCTGTGAGTTTCTGTACCAGATGAATGTTGCTCTGTCAGTCAGAGTGCAGCTGCTTTTACATGTCAGACGGACATTATGACCCTCTGTCACTCTCTCAGGAGCCTCCACCTGAAGATCTGAACACAACACACACATTATATCTAGTGCTGCTGTCATACACTGATTATTATTCAACATAATGCACAGAAGAAGAGCTCAGCCTCATGAAAGTCACCTGTGACAGTAAGAGTCACTCCTGGAGTGCCAATCCATTTCTCATCAGGTACATTAGTAGTGAATCTGCAATAGTACATGCGTTCATCCTTCTGTGTCACATGACTCAGTCTGATGGTGCAGTTCTGCTGTTTGTCTCCCAGATACTGAAGCCTCTGACTGTATTCAGGATCCTCAGACAGATCTGGAAACTCTTCATCTTTCTCTTTAACTTGTGTTTTGGTCCAAAATGCTGTTATAATCTGATTTCCAGTAGGGTATCTAAAAGTGCAGCTCATTGTCACTATTGACCCCTTCAGTGCACAGATGTTTGTAGAGCTGTAACTCACACCCCAACCATACTGGCCATAAACACCTGGAACACACATTAAAGGAATTGTTTACCCAAAATGAATCTTTTTTCACAAATTTCAAGTTGTCTCAAACTTTAAGGCTGTCATAAAATACATTAATTTTAATTAAACATGTTATACTCTAATGTGGGAGTTTAGGTAAACTTTAGTTTTTTAAACTGACTGAACTTTACTTGATAATGTATTTTTGATTAATACAAAACAAGTTTATGAAACATTTAAAACAAGTTTATGAAACATTTAACAGGGAGTCAAATGATTTGCAGACCCCCAGTTAAAGAAAGTCACAAAGAACAAGTTTATTTCATTACCAACAACAGAATATTAATTTTCCAATAGGACTGACTCACTGTGAATCACGAGCAGAATCAGCAGAGGAAGAGGAGGAGCCATTCTGACTGACGTCACTACAAGACCAATATAACACACACAACATGAGAAAAACACAGTCTTTAGCTTCAAAAACATCTTCATAAAGCAGTTTTCAATGAGAATATCTCATATCGAGTAAATCAGTGGTTTCTACAACAGTATTAATCAGACTATATTCACATGTTAATCAGAGTGACTCTTACCATGTTCTGCTGAGTCTGATCTCCAGCAGCCGTTAAACTGAGTTCACACGGTTTGTTTTAAAATATCCCTGCAGACAGATATATTTCTTCCTCTTTTTTGGGTGCTGCCCACACGTGCAACTTTAAACAGCTTTCCGTCATGATCCAATGGCATTTATTGATAATTAAACCCAATATTCTTAAACAGTTGGAAATGAAGGTGACATATTTTATTGTTGTTGTAGTCCATCACTCTGACTGATCAGTAAATGACATATTTCTTTTCTCTCTTACTGTAGTAGGACTTTATAGTTTCACTTGCTTTTGCACATATAATGATTGGAGAGATGATCAGGTTTATATCAAAAATAAAACTCGGTTTTCATACTGGCCGCCGTGTCTTCCTGGAAACATTTTCTGAATTTTGAGACATACGTTGCATAAGACTGGTTGCCGTCACTTTGACCACAGACAGATAAGTTATTTTTGAACCTACTTGAGAGATTTGCCTACAGATTATTGAAAAAAAATAAATAAATAAATAAAATATATATATATATATATATATATCAACATTATTTCTCAGCTGCCGTTGCCCCTAGAGCATAAGATGGAAGGGAACAATTATATTTCAATGCTCTTGCATTTGCTCACAAAAGTTGCTCAGGGAATTCAATTTTTTTTAGTGAACACAAAAACACTTAAATATAATTTTTAATACTTGTTATGTCTAACATAACAGGGCTCCGCAGCTTAAAACTTGTTTAGTCAAACTAAATGATTTCAAACTTTTCTTAACACACGCACACAGTTTCACTACAAATAATCATCATCGGCCACTTTGACGCACCAGTGATCAAAACTCTATTTGTATCCACTGTTGTGAGCATTTTCCAGTTTATATATAATTATGTAGACATCTATGATTTTTTTTGTGAAAGCCCCAATATTAACTGAATATTAATAGTAACCCAGCAATCACATATGGTACGTTATTTTTACGGTAGTGCATCTCACAACACAATGACTTCAACAAGGTATACTGTTTTGAGTTTAGCTCCACAATGACCTGGAATTGACTACCGAGGCTTCAACAGAAGTAAATAAAGATTTAAAGAACTGAAATCATGAACAACTGAAGCTTGAGTTTGGTGAAATTGCTACGTTCATTTATTTGGTCACAAAACTTGAATAAGTTCATCTTTAACAAACACATTCCCAAATCACAGAATCTTTTTTTAGTTTATTTATTTATTTATTTATTTGGTTTCCAGCTCATCTGTTCACCTGATTTAATGAATAATATGCCATACATTTTTTTAAACTGCATGCTAAATTAAACAGCCAAAGGACATTCAAGGACATTAATTAATATTTGTTCATATTCAGCAAATATTTTTGGCTTTTGCTTTTCCCAGCAGCCGAGATGAACAGAGGCTTCATGACGGTCTGTCATTCATCTGACGGAGCTGTAGATCACAGAGA